TTCTCTCCTGACAGCTCAGCACCTGCAGCAGCAGACCGGAGAGTGTCTCACGGCTTGTTGCAGCGGATCGAACCCTAAAAGCCTGTCTCTCTCAGAGCCGGCCCAGACCCACAGTCGTCCCTCGGCGGACCGGCCGTACCACTGCCAGGACTGCGGCAAGTACTTCCGGATCAACGACATCAAGCGGCACCAGCGCATCCACAGCGGAGAGCGGCCCTTCCCCTGCTTCCAGTGCGGCAAGAACTTCCCCACGTCTGGGGACCTGAAGAGACACGAGCGCATCCACACGGGCGAGCGGCCCTACCACTGCCTGCAGTGCGGCAAGAACTTCTCCGACTCGGGCCACCTCAAGCAGCACGAGAGGATGCACACGGGCGAGCGGCCCTACCAGTGTCCGCAGTGCTCCAAGCGCTTCTACCGCTCCGGAGACCTCAAGCGGCACCAGCGGATCCACAGTGGCGAGCGGCCCTACCACTGCAACCAGTGCGACAAGACCTTCTCCGACTCCGGACACCTGCGGGGCCACCAGCGCATCCACACCGGAGAGCGGCCCCACCGCTGCACGCTCTGCGAGAAGAGCTTCTTCAGATCGGGCGACCTGAAGCGGCACCACAGAACGCACACGGGCGAGCGGCCCTACCAGTGCTTCCAGTGCGGGAAGAGCTTCTCCGAGTCGGGACACCTGAAGGAGCACCGGAGGATCCACACCGGAGAGAAGCCCTACCACTGCAACCAGTGCGACAAGAGCTTCTCCCGGCTGGAGCGGCTCAAGGGCCACCAGAGCATCCACACGGGCGAGAGGCCCTTCCACTGCACGCAGTGCGGCAAGAACTTCTTCCGCTCGGGAGAGCTGAAGCGGCACCAGAGGATCCACAGCGGCGAGCCAGCGTGAGCGCCTGGAGAGAGCACAAACACCTGAGCGACGGCAGCCGATCGCCGAGCTTTCCTCTTCGTGTCCTGATAGAAATCAGCAATGCTGTGTGTCGTTATACATGTGTTTGTTGTCATAGACCGTCTGAAGCGCTAGCTCTGCACGCCTCGCTCTGATCTGATGCTCCTCACACTCTGTATGTTGTTCAGAAATATATAGTGCAGTGACTCATTAGAACTGTATATTGTACAGGAGCATATTATTACTGTGTGTGCTCACATTCCTTGTATTTAATGAGTCTCCCTCAAACTGTCTGTGGTTATTTTTTTTATATATAAACTGAACTGTTTTACTGTCAACATGAGACGCCACTGAAGCGTTTCTGAACCTCTGGTTTCTCTCGATGCTGTGTTTTACTAGCTGCCGTAAATCTCGTGTGCGAAACACAGAATAACAATTATTGTTTCACTGTAACACTTTATTAACTCATGAAAGACGTTACAGAGTATAGATGTGCTGTAATTCAGCAGCTGATTGTGATCGGTTTCTGAGCACCAGGTGATTAATATAGTAAACTGAGCTCATGAATCACATTAGATTTACCTTTTAACTTTTTTAAATTAGCTCTTTACATTTGTTATTGTTTTGAATGGTCTTCTATTTTTACTTTATATATGTGTGTATTTAACCACCAGTAGCTTGGAGGGCTTTAATGCCATCAGAAAGGCTGTTTTATAAGAGCTGTGTGCAGGATTGAATTATAATTGTTTGGGTTCTTCATGTGCATGTTTTCTTCATATGTGTGTCATCATCTTTAATAAACACTTCACCTCTAATTACAGCCGCACACATGAACATGCAATTTATTGGCCTTCCGTAACATGTCTTCTCCAGACTGCAGCATTCGATCATTAATTAACACTAATGTGCCGTGAGAAGAAGCGAGTGATTAAAGGTTGTTTAAAGCCGAACGGAAGGAGTTTTGTTTTGCGCGTCACACGACATATGTTCATATCTGTCACAGTAAGTTACTTGCCCCATTGAGAACGTGAGCTGTTTGCATATATTTCATGTTTTCATATTTAGAAGTAAGCGCTGCAAAGCACTTCCGCTCTTGTGGAAACAATGTTCATTTTACCACATCCGCGTGCGCTTTACGGCACCGATCAGTCGGAAGTCCGGTAACCAGGGAGACGCCAGGATGCACTGCGGCCGGCGGGAGAGGGTGAGCGGCGTTTAATTCAAAATTTCTCATTAGCTGCATTAAATTGTCCGTTTTATTCGTCACTCACACTCACACACACACACGCTCTCTCTCACGTAGACCCCCATCACTCACTCACTCACTCACACACACACGCACATGCTCACACACGCTCACACACACACGCTCACACACACACACACGCACACACGCGCTCTCTCACACACACACACACACACACACATGCTCTCACACTCGCACGCACGCGCACACACACTCACACGCACTCTCACTCACACACGTGCTGTCATTTCATTGAAGTCACCTTTATTTCTACAGCACTTTATACAGTACATATTGTCTCAAAGCAGCTGTACAGTGCTAAAGGGTTAATTCACCCGAAAATGAAAGTCCATGTTTTCCTC